TGACTGAAACGCAATGTCCCCAGGACATGAGGAGCCACCCCAGAGTCTGGCTTCATGGTTCCTAGGAATGAGCTCACTGCAACAAATACTGTACCTGGCAGCATCATTCCTTACAAGGTGCAACAGGGCCCAGAGCCTCGGTGGCTTTGGACCTTCACCACACAGGAGACAGGGACTGACTGCCAGGGGAGCTCCCTCCTAGCCATAGGTTGCTAGGAACTCATCGACCCAGGGGGACTCTCCCCAGAGTTGATGCGAAGGTGCAAGCAGCAGGACTGGCAGTTACAAGGAAAAGGGAACCCCAGGGAATAGTATGGTGGCTGTGACAGGGCTCCAGGGTGATCCTAGAGCCACCTACAACACTCACTTTCCCAAATATAAGTGTCCATCAGGGGCCAGTTAAAAGGTTCACTAGGATAAGGTGCTCGGCATACAATCCTAGCCACCTGACTTTTATCCCCCAACATACATGATACATACAGACACATGCACATATGCACATGGACACATACACAAATGTACATGCCCATCAGTATATTTACTCACCACAGTATGGGGCACTGGACTGGAAGAGGGTTAGGTGCTCAAATCTGAGCAAAGTAGGGCGTGAAGCCCAGCAGGACAGGCGTTTCCAGACACAAGTGAGCACACACATGTCTACTAGCCTGCAGGACCACGGGCTGCGCAGGACAGGGATTTTCTTTCTGAGAAGCTGTCCTGTGGCTGTGGCACATTTAGCTGCACCCTGCCAATTAGAGTTGAACAACTCCAGATGTGACGAGCCGTCTTGAGACTTAACAAAATCAGCTCCAGTTGAGATGCACTATAGGGGCCTTGGAAGCCACTCTTCATTCAACTTACAGGTAACTATGACCAGAGAAGCAGGCATTGAGAGGACCCCTCGCTGTGTTCCTGGGTCCTAGGAGACTTAGTTCTCTGATTCAGTCCACAGGCATCAGAGCCAAGTTCCATCACCTGGTATCCACACTTGCTATCCAGGCTGTCCCTCCCTGGCTTCGCCCAGCACAGCCTGAACTCCAGGCTCTGCCTGGTTCCTCAACGAATGAGGGGTCCTAGTGATGCAATCTATGCTCTGGCCTGAGCGAGAGTCTAATAGGAAACAATTTAAATCAACAACATCTGCCAGTGCTTTCCCGAAGAGAACGGCACAGCTGCCTGGGGAGTGGCCCACCCCAGGGGCCAGTCAGGGCATCCGTCCAGGGGCTGCAGGCCAGAATGGCCAACGTGGCAGCCCAACAGAGTCTGGCTCCTGCCAGGAGTTCAGGGCCACGTGCAGGGGAAACAGTTCCCCACAGTTCAGCCTGCCAGTCCCTCCTCCTGTAGTGAGGCAGCAAGAAGTTCCTAGAAGCCAAGCCAGTTCGTGCCCAACACCAGAGAGCTTAAAGAAGCACCTCTTAGCACACACAGCTGTGGAGCTGGATCTGTCAGGGAACTTCCCTTCCTGTATCTAGTAGGCTCACTTGAGAGGCTTGGAGAGGCAAAGATGGGTCCAGGCAGGCCTCTGCCACCCAATGACTTCAAGAGCTCCTGGGTCTCTGTCACCATCCTACCCTTTCTCATGGGGCTGCTATGACCTAACCTGAACACAGTAGGAGCCTCTGCTGAGTGGAGGACAGGCCTGGTCCTTTGAAAGTGTCTGCAGAGAGGAAATCAGGGGCAGGTGATCCGGAAGATGCAAAAACCATGACCCAGCTTTCTTCCTTGCCCAGGACCCTGGATCTGGCCATTTCCCTAGGCCTAAAACCCAGCTGAGATGCCCAGAGGTATGGCAGATGGCAGGAATGTGTGACCAGCTCCTGGCTGACTCAGGCCTGGGTGGTGTTTGATTCACTGGGTGAGGAAGGAGTGAGAGGAAAGGATTACTGTCCCTGAGGCCTGGTTCCTGAAATGACTGGACACTAGTCATGGGGACACCTGCACCCAGACCCTCCTGAGGTACCTCCTGTGCACACAGGACTCGGCCTTGTCTCCCAGAGCCAAGACCCCAGAAGCAGGGCCTCTCTCGGCACACTTGCTGTTGTCTCCTGTCCTCAAAGACGGATCTGGGGATCTGACAACTGAATGAGAGATTTCTGTAGAGCCAAGTCTTCTCACTCTGCGTCTAGGTAGTTTTCCCAACTACAACTTGCTCTCTACCCAGATGTTCCTGCTGCACAGAGGATTCCCCATGGCTCTCTGAACTTCTGAGACGACAAGATAATCAGGAGCCATTTAGTCAGTCACCTTTCTTCACAGCCTGACTCTGACTCAGACCTGATTTTCCAGCTGTCCTCAGTAGCTATCCAAGATTTCAACCACAGGACCAAAGGCTCAGGGTCAAACAGGACCATGAGGACCTGACTCACTGTGTTTTACCTCCTCAGTGCACACCTGAGACTCTGCAGACTTGAAGACCATCCTGGGCCAACCACTACTACTGTCACTACCTCCACTCACATTTACTGAGTACTGTCTAGGAGTCAGGCTAAGTGGGCCCCTTCCAGGCACAGGTCCCACACATCAAGGATAACCTTATCAACTTCTTAAACCAGAATGCCTTTGAACTCTACTCAAGTGCCATCATGGATCTTGCCTTGGGCCTTTTTAAACAGGGTCCTGTGCTGGGTCCTTGTCTGTGATAATGGCTGCTACAAGGGATGCCTTCTGCAACCTGGAGTCCCAAGCAGTCCACTCAACTGCTGCCCAGATAGAAAGGCTGTCTTCCCTATACCTATAATGGGCAGAGTCAGTCTCACAACCAGATCCAATTGTTTCCTGCCTTTCTTTTGGCAAATACAAACCCCATGAGAGTTGTTGAGCTCAGGGTACATCTCTTGAGACTAGTGGGACACATCCATCATTCCAGAGACAGGGTTTGGAGCCAGGTATCATGATGTACATCATTTATCCCAGCACTTGGCAGGCAGATCTCTGTGAGATCCAGGCCAGCCTGAACCAAAAAATGAGACCTTGCCTCAAAGACAACAAAGAAGGTGAGGGTCTGAGGTTGATGTAAGCTTAGTAGCGAAACCCCATTTCCTCTATGCTCTCCACTTCCCTGAGACAGATATGTCTACTGGTCTCTTCCTGTTTATGGGCCGCAGGCAGAGATCACAAATATCATGGCCAGGGCAGTGGTCCAGCTCTCATCACACTTTTTCCAAGAGGTGAACCTCAGAAAGAAAGAAGAGCAACAGCTGGAGAGAGGATGGAAGAAATGTGAACCTTTCCTTTTTTTTTTCCCCCCAAAACAGGGTTTCTCTGTGTCACAGTCCTAGCTATCCTGAAACTCGCTTTATAGACCAGGCTGGCCTCAAACTCACAGAGATCCTCGAGTCTCTGCCTCCCAAGTGCTGGGATTAAAGGCGTGCGCCACCACCACCCGGTTGAACCTTTTCCTTTATGCTTCCAGCCCCAGATCTCCTCCAACTACTGCTCTGAATTGAAACTAGTCATGCCAGCTATACGGAGCATGTGCTCTGAGACAGAAGCTATGATGGGTAGTAACAGGTTCACCATGGCAGCCAGGTACTATCACAGGCAAAGTCCAGATACCCAGTGGTCTGGCAATAACTCAGGAGCCCACCAAGCCTTCAAACTGCTAAACCCCAGAGCCTGGAAGCTCTGTTGTGCTGGGGTTATAAGTGGTAAAGGAAAATCCCCAGCCCAAGAAGACTGCCTGCAGTTGCCAAAATGAACCACTGCCTCATAAACAAGAACGATGCTCATCAGGTTGGAATGGTTCAGCCTGGCTTGCCAGAAAGACCCAGGAAAAACCCCAAAGATTGACTTCAGACTTCCAGGCACCCTTGTGTTTGTCTTGAAAGCTTTGGTGCCCACCTAGAGCCTAGAGGTATGGGCATCTCAAGGCTTGTTTCTGCAACAGAGACATGTAGCTCACAAGTCCTCAGAGAGAACAGACTTGTGTAACTAAACCTAAGCAGAATTCTGCAAGTCTAAAAGCCCCTTCCAGATATGGGCCCAACTCCAACAAACCTAACTTCGTCTTTTCTGAGCCACGTCATTTTTGGACTCATGGACTCTTGCCTTGGGCCTTTTGTCTGTGGTGCCAAACTGTCCTGGAACTTGCTCATGTAGACCTTGGCTGCTGCAGAGGATGGCTCCAGCTTTGAACTGGTTCAAGACAGCAACTGGGAAGATACCTTTCTCGGTTTAACACACTTGCCCTACTATAACTGGCAGCCCTAAACTGTCTACCGTACTGCTGCCCTTGGTAGTGCTAGTCTGGGACCTAGCAGTTAAGAGAATTGAGTGTTGTTCTTCCAGAGGACCAGGGTTCCATTCCCAGGACCCACATAGAGAGAGACAACAATCTGTAACTATAGTTCCAGGGGACCTGACACCCTCTTTTGGCTTCCATGCACACTGCACATACATGGTATACAGACTTACATGAAGGCCAAACACCCATATAACATAAAAGTAATGAAGTAAGAAATAAATCAAATGCAAGTCTGAACCAGGAGAGGCAGGCGAATCTCTGTGAGTTTGAGGCTAGCCTGGTCTACAAAGTCAGTTCCAGGATAGTTAGGGTTGTTACACAGAGAAACCCTGTCTCGGGGTGGAGGAGAGCAAGTCTGATTGACTCAAACCCAGGCGCATCTTCAGCATACTGTCAAGACCATCCCCAAGAACCTCCCCTCGCTAAGCCCCTTCCAAAGCACTGGCTCTTTCCTGCTCAGCTCTTCTTCTCCCACAACCAACCTCTAACCCTACCCACCCCAATTCACATCACTTCCTCAAGGGTTGTTCAGCACTGAGTTCATGTGCCACAGGTGGGATCCTACAGAGGTACAGACTATATCCCCATGGCCCCAGACATATAAGGTGACCAGGAAACTGACATGAACAGCCCAGGCAAGCACAAGCCACAGGTGCTGCCTGCACACATCTGCACACAGGAAGTGGTGGGTGAAGAGGGCACATCACATGTGAACAGGAACCAGCCTCTGTCCTCCTGATAACAGGTTGCACACTTCCTCTCTTTGCAGGTTTAGCCGGTAGTAGCTGCCAGGGTCTGGTCATGTGCTGATCAGCTAACCTTGATCTTGGGGAGTTTTCCTGCCCTCAAGTGAGCACCCTCTAGAAGAGGAAACAGTCTGCAGGGATAAAGCCATTGGTCACAGTCACAGAGCAATTCGGCAGTTTCGAGATTCAATGGCAGTACCCGAGCTCACTCTCTTCCTCCCAAACCTGCGTAACTGCTCTCCTCTGCAAGTGGCACACCCAACTGAGCCAACGGCCGTGGCTGCGTTTCAACTGCAGCCTTTAAGCCAGCTGTCCAGTATACGGGTAAGGGTTCCTCCTGGCACAGGCTGATACTTTGGGCACTGGGTTGGGGGTAGGCTTGGGCTTAGCAGCTGGCAGTAGCCACACAGTCAACACCAACAACCACATTGGTTCAGAGCCAGGAGAGAGACGTCCCAGCCTGGGACACTGCCAACACATAGCAAGAGGCCCAAAGACTAAGATGCAATGGAGGCTTTCCTGGCCTTGAACTCGTTCCTGCTACGGAGCTAGACAGAGCTAGACGCAATGAACAGAGACTGCAGTACCTTGAAAGGAGGGGCTACAGCAGGTGACAAGGCCAAGGAGAGGTTGAGACTCCCCAGGAGCGGCTATTTGGGCTGAGCAGTAGTTTCACGTGGAAAAGCACGGTAAGGGGTTGAAGAGGAGCAGAGTAACCAGAAAGGCAGGGAGCAGGATATTGGCCACTGAAAGACCTTGGGTTCTCTCATCTACCTCCTCCTACCAGAAGGATTACAGTCAGTACCCTGTACCTTTGTGAGGGGCTGTCTGCTTGTCTGCAGGAGTCCCTGAACAGTGTTTCGGTAGAGAAGGACTAAGTCAATAGGGAAGACAAAGTATGTGGACCCCACTGCAAACCCCACTAGGCCCTGAGCTCAGACCTAAGGTACTTCCTACTGGCTCCCACCCCTGCTAAAGACAAAGAAGCAAGCCCGAGGAATAGGCATCCTCTCTTGGCAGCACCACAGTGGCCCGGACCCCCAGGGAAGTACCAGCTACGAAGAGGCATATCACTTGGCCCGGAGGGAATAGGACGGAGTGTAACACAGTGTTCCCACTGAGAACCAGAAGCCAAGCTGGCATTCCAGCAAGCACTATCACTACATCCTCCGGCCCCAGCAGCCCTGCTTCAAAGAGAGGCTCAGGCGAGAGGCTAGGGTTCAAGGCCCTTGTTGAAGCCATAGGCAGTAAATAGCAGGCTGAGGTATGGAAGTGGGGGAGGCAGACTAGAAACCTAACCAGTAGAAAGTGAGTTTCTGTCAGCAGACCCCTAAAACAAGATGGCTACAGGGCCGAGGACTGCTTACTGCCAGGAAACATCTGGGCAGAATGGCGTAAAAGCAGTTTCAGGTCTATATTCAAGAGCTCTTCTAAGCCACGGGTACCAAGAGACTCAAAGAAAAAGGACCACAAGTTTGCAACCACAACCCTCTGGTGACACTTAGGTTAGGTACAGGTTGGGCAGCTTCAAGCCTACAAAAATGCAGTCCGACCTTTGGGTAGTCAGTGAGCTCAGAACACCACTAGGACCCGGAGACAAGTCTAATGCTCCCATTATACAAAGCACTCACCAAGAGAAGTAGATAAGGAGGAGCTATATGCCCTCCCACCCCACCTTAGCTCCAGGTCTCTCCCTCTCTCACACTTATCCTTGGCACCCTTACTCCAAATACCAAGTCCCTACTAAGTTCCTGAGACCCGGAGGCAGACTTACTAGCTGGCACCCGGATGCATAGGCAAGGCTCCTTTAAAACAAGTCAGGGTTTCCAGGTTCTGACAAAGCAGGGCCTCCCAGCCACTCCCAGGTAAGCAGGACCTACAGGCAGGCACTGTTATTACTGCCAAGAAGCCCCAGCCAAGCAGGAGCTCCAAGCAAAGAGCAGGCCTCAGGGAGCAGCCTTGGCTCCACAGAGCCAGATCTCCTCAGGTCAGGTCTACTACCAAGCTGCCAGGCAGGCTAAGGCACTGCCAAGGTGGCACATGCCAACAGTGTAGCCAGTTGGCAGCAAAGACCAGGTCCAAGCAAGCAGCAGCTACTAAGGCCTGAAACAGGCTGGGAAGCTTCTTAGGGAGGCTACCTACCCACAGTATGATCTGACTTCAAAGAGAGACAGGGGACCTGGACCAGTCTTGCTGCCCAGCCAACCTCTAAGGCCCACTCCTTCCTTTCCCTCTGCCAGAGGGGTTTCTTACCACAGGTCCTCTGGCCCCCATGCTTGCACAGGAAAGACCTCAGGGCCTCAGGAACCAAACTGATAAGAGACCCTCAGAATATGCCAAAGATCTAAGAGTATGCTATGGGGGGAAGAAGAGCTCTCAAAACCCAGTTACAAAGCCTCTGCATTGAATGCTACCTCACAGTACTGTTATCCAATCTTCCACTGAAACTTTGGAAGTTTGGATTTTGACATGAACAATAGTTTCCAGGACATCTTCGACTACTATGCACCCTATCTTCCAGCACCTTCAAAGTATGGTGCCGTGCCTTTAGGATAGGGAACCTTCCTGCCTATTTTGCCTGCTACCCTCTCTAGTCTGTTCCCTCTTCTCTCTGCCTCCCACCACTCTGCCAGGCTAGGTCAACACTGCCTGTAGTCTCTTACCAGTACCTAAGAGCCATTATCTTAATTGATAAATGATGTCACGTTGTTCCCCTGTCCCCTGTTGACTCCCAAGACTAGAAACAGTTCAACAAGTTTTTGTTTTCTCTAGCCCCTCTTCCCACACCCCAATCCTACCTTGCCCAGACACGCCTTCAAGCCAGAGGCTTCTCCACAGGCTCTTCCCCATCTTCAGCTCGACCCCTCTCAGTTTCTAACAATCCCATTAAGTGTTGCCTCCTCAAGGAAGCCCTCCCCATAGTGATGGTGTGCTTACCATGAGACAGTGAACTATGGGCAGGGGTGAGACGACTTGAGAGAAAACAAAATGGGCAGAATCTGAACAAAAACATTTCCCCAGGTGGTCTGCCAGGGCCCACTGAGATCCACAAGGACCCATCCCAGATTAGCTTGGCATACTAGGCATCTTGCCACCATCTAACTGCTAGTGCTGCTCACTGTGAAAGTCAGTCGAAAGGGAGTAAGTCTCAGTCAGGGGGGAAGAAAAGACCCATGTCTACTAGCTCCCTCCTACCTTCAATTTGTTCAGCCCACAGTATCCCTATTCTGAGCAGGACAATAAATACCTTACCCAATTTCGGGTTTCTCCTGTGTCTTCACACTGCTGGAGAATCCCGAGTGTGGGCATCCATCTCCACTAGGCTTTCTCAGAGCCCCACACCAATCCATCCCAGAGTACGCCTTGCACGGCTGTGAACTCAGGGGCATTCCTTTTTCAATGAGGAACGTTGAGAGACAGGGATGGAACCCTGGCCAAATGTGTGGCTTGGATGACGAACAATCAAGCCTCCCTACCTGTCCCAGAGTCAGGGCCTGGACCTGGGCACAGGCCTCTGGATGCAGAGCTAATTCTTCCAAAGAAGTCCTTCATGCTCCAAGAATCCCAGAGGCTCCTGAGTACTCCTACATGACGGGCACAGGGCAGTGCCCACAGAAGGCAGGCAGTGCCTGTGTGGCAAGCAATCAGGCTCTATTTACAAAAATAAAAGCCCACTGAAGGCTCACTGAGGACTCGAAGCTGGCCAAGAAGAAAGGACAAGGATGAGGGAGGCCTTCTCAGGTCAAGGTCGGTTTCTCAGATAGCCTGGCACTTAAGTGCAAAGCAGGAGGTGACCTTGCAAGGGGTCTTTCTCTTCCTCCTGGCCAACCCACTTTCCTAGTGGGTTGAAGCACAGGGGACAGAGATAAGAGCCAGACTACAGTCTGTCCAACAGGGTCCACCATTTCTCCTATGAAGTAGCCTTGGCAAGTCACTCTTCTGCCCCAGACTGTGGTTTCCCCATCCACTGGCTAAGAGGACAGTATCCTCCTCTCCTCTCTCTTCTCCATCTTGTACGTCAGTGTTCCCTTGCACTTTTCTCCCGACACAGCAACCACACACACGTGGCAAGTCAAAGAACCAATACTACCTAGGAGCAGGGTCCCTGGGAGGTTTGGGGTCCTTTTGACCTGAAAACCACTTAGACATGCTAAATCTGCCAGACTCACACTTGGATGGGACCTCTGTATGCTCCTGGATACCTTCCAACCTGAAAGCCTTCCCAGGTACCACTTGGATTATCTTCCTGGAAGGCCCCAGGCAAGAACACATGGCGAATGCCCACGGTGCCCCAGTGACTGCCTAAGCCTGACCACAAATATATAGTGATTACTTTAGTTCCCGCCGCCACCCGCCTTATAGTCTTGAGGACTCTATATTTATCCTGAGCATCACAAAACCCCGTTTAGTGCCTCTACCCTGTACAGCTCCCAATCCTACTGTACCGCCCAAGCCACTGAAAGAAGTCTTTGTAGGGTTTGAAGTGTCACATGGGCCTGTAGTTGCTTCGAGCTCATGCCACCAAGGCAAGACAGGTCTCTGAATTGGAACTGCTGCAATCAAGGTCTATATCTGCTACACTGAACCAGTCACTTCATCTTTCCTGACCTCAGTGTCCTCACCTCTGAGTAGGGCATATGGTCAGATATCTGAGTGGCTCAGCAAGTCCCTGGCATCGAGTACACAATCAGAGAAAGCCACTATGAAAAAAGAACTGGTTCCCCACTGGCATTTACAACCTGGTAACCTCCAGCGTGCGGTTTTACTTCTCTGGCCTCGGTGTCCCTCCAAATGGAAGATTAATGGGGATACCTGATGCAAAACACTCAGCACTATGCCTGGCACAATCTGGACATAAGATCCTAGCTGCCGTGTAAACTGCTGCTCCTAAGGTGGTGCTGGAAGGTGAGGCTAAGGAACAAGCCCGGGAGTCACCTGCTCCACCTGTTCCAACTGGGTCAGATAGAGCTGAGTACAGTTGTTGCCATGGTACTCAACACACTGGAAAACACCAGCTAGGAAGGCGGGGTTGCAGGGGTGGGGCCTAAGGCTGTTGTTAGTCTGTTACCACCCGTGCTGCCAATAGCACATCAAGCCATCCAGAGGTCCCTGCGGTTGGGAAGATGTGCTGCCACATCTAGGCCCAGCATCTAAGCTGGTCTAGTCACCGAAGTCCCTACCGAACTTAAACAATAAGGTCATAGTAGTGGAGGGGTAGCCCAGGCTTCTGGGTTACAGGATCAGTGTGGGAGGGGTGCTGGCAAAGGGAACAGCAACCTAGGAACCCCCACCTTCTGGGTAAAAGCATACAGAAACCAAAGCCACTTCAAAGCGGCTCGGGTTCCAATATCAAGGCTCTCTGCTGCCACAGCTGCAGCACCCAGCAGGGAAGCGCCCAGCTTTGGGCCCCAATGCTAGTTCTTTCTCTTCAGCCACTCCCCGCCAAGAGGCTTTATCCAGGATGGGAACCAGGAAAGACTACCTAGGCTCAGCTGGGCTCCGAGAATCTGTGGCCTCTTGCCAGAAGGAAGACGGGGAAACAGAGGTAAAATCCAGAGCATGTGTGCTAAATCCCGGAACTTTCCAGACTGTCCAGGATGTGGGAACAAGCTGAGGTAAGGAAAAAGCTGACAGGTAGGGTCACGGTGGCTGGCTAAGGGTCTTGGTACAAATTCCTGGTACTGTGCCTAATCCTAGGACCTCTGCTGATTAAGGGATGTCATCCCGTGTTCCCCCTAGCTCCCTGCCAATGACCTGGGGTTGAGGGGAGTACTAGTAACTGCTGTTTAACAACTTCCCTGGAGAGAGACATGATACACTCTCCATCCCCCTCACACCGAAAGGTGAGGGCTCCCCATATTACGAAAGGGGAAACTGAGGCTAAGGGCACAAGACAGCAGTTAAAGCCATTCTCTCTGAGCCTCTATTTTCACCTCTGTAAAAACGCTCCCCCAGGCCCCCACCTCTACTCCTGCTTCATGGCACAGTCAAGGGGTTAAGAGGCACTAGTAAAACGGTAAGCAGAGCACCGATAATTGCTAGCTCTTGAGAGCAGGGCTCAGGGAGTCTGGGTAATTCACCCAAGTCTAGAAGTGGCTGTCTCCAGGCCCATCTCTGGGCATAACCCTCTGACACGTGCCGTTAGGCGAGGAAGCTGTAGGTATTACAGGCTTCACAGGCAGCAGACTGCAGCCACCCCCACCAGAAAGGTCTAAATTCTTCAGATAAGCAGCTCTAAGCAGAACAGGAGGACGGTGCATAGAACAGACACCTCACTCTATCCATGCAGCTTCTCTTCTCCCAGCAGATTCACCCAACAGGTCTCCGAACAGGCCAAGTCTGGTGGGCTATTGCTCAGGCAAAGTCCCCAGTAACCATTTCCTTCCTCTTTCGGGGCCCATTATCCTGACCAGGACTCCCATTCCCCAGGCCAGGACTGTGTGACCCCAGTGAGCTCAATCTGCAAAGGCTAGACTGAGAACTCGGATCTCACTCCGCAGTACCTGGAGAGCTGGACCTACCAGGACCGTGAGAGACACAAAACCTAACTGGAGGGCTTCTTTCAGCCAGGAAGGTAGTCTCCTGGCAAGGACATTTGCAATGCAAAGCAGTCCAGCTTCAGCCAGAGGAGGGCAGTCACTCAGAGGGGGCTGGGCAACCCCAAATCCAGCCTCAATCAGATTCAGGGAGTGCCTGGGACTGGGTTTCCAAGCCAAGGGGAGAGTGCCAGAAAACCTGTGGCTGGCCCAGGCTCTCAATCATATGACAGCCACAGGGGCCAGCTTGGTGGCAAGGCGGCCCGGGACACCCCTACTTACTCAAGGTGCAAATTTCATTCAGCTCTTTCCATGCAAGTTTGCAAAACGGGTGACTTGGAGAATGCATGCAGGGCCCTAAAAGGTTTCGGGCTGGTAACCTGCAGACAAGTGCCTGTCTGGCACATTGCCAGCTCACTCGGCCCGGAGTCCTGCCTAGAGCAAATCTTCCCAAAGACAACGTACAACGCCCGGAAGCCTCTTGCCCGACCCCACCTGAGGCTTCCACACTTACCAAGATCTCACTCACCAGCACCCCCCACACACACACACACACCTTCCCCTGCAAAAACGAAAGCCTCAATGCCTACCTGGACGACAAACTGACAAAATCCCCGCCATCCAGCAGCCGGACTTTGCAAAAGAGGACCCCGTTCACGAAGGGGACCGCAGTCAGCTCCTCCAGGGTGAAAGTGGTTTGAAATTTGAATTTCTTCTTCTTCATCAAAAAAGCCATGAGCGAGTTCCCTGAGTCTTAAGCCCGCAGGGCAAAAAAAAGAAAAGAAAAAGAAAAAGAGGGGTCCCAGAAATCCCCAGGATCCCTTTCCCGAAATCACACTCCCCCTTCTCAAAAAACACCAGAGCCGGATCCCGTCCAGATGGCGGCGGAGGCTGAAGGGCAGGATCTGAGTCCGGAGCCCGGGGTCTGAGGGACCAGTCTTGTGGGTCGGCTACTTTCACCTTCGGGGGGCCCGGGCTCCACCGACATGTAAACAGCGAGGCGCGGCCCCGGTGGCAGGGGCAAGCGTGGAGGGCGGCTCGCGAGCAGGCAGCAGCATCCCGAACCGCGGGGCCCG